GATTGCATGTGTTATTTTAAGCTGTTGCTTATGGCCCTAGATTGCATGTGTTATTTGAAGCTGTTGCTTATGGCCCTAGATTGCATGTGTTATTTGAAGCTGTTGCTTATGGCCCTAGATTGCATATGTTATTTCAAGCTGTTACTTATGTCCCTAGATTGCATGTGCTACTTTTTTTTAATAATCCAGATAAGATAGGTATCTGTAACTAAAAACTGTTGTTTATAACCAAAGTGTGCATTTGTTACTTGTAGCGGTTGCTTATAATCCAAGAATGAAAGTAATACATAATAAACAGATATATATTCTTTACTATTTTGTTACTTACAAAAAATATATTTTAAAATTATTTCTGGGAGTTGAAGAAACATTTAATTAAATGTTAATTAATGTGAAGATATAAACTGACATTTGAACTTGACGATAGAAACAAAACAGTATACTATGCAAGAATATGCGACATTTTTTACACCATCACTTCACAGATTTTCAGTAAATATTGGTTCTACAGCTTCGAATAATGAACACGAACTGTTCATGACTGTTATTATATTGTATTTACCAATGGTTTTTGTGGTATAATCTTGCGTTCATTATTCCCTCACCAAGTAGAGACATACCTACTCTGTTCTCGCAAGATTATACCACAAAAACCATTAGTAAATACAATATAAGAACAGTCATGAACAGTTCGTGTTCATTATTCCCTCACCAAGTAGAGACATACCTACTCTGTGCTTACGAACTGTTCATGACTGTTCTTATATTGTATTTACTAATGGTTTTTGTGGTATAATCTTGCGAGCACAAAGTAGGTATGTCTCCACTTGGTGAGGGAAGTTTATAAAAAGTTTTAATTTTGCTAAAATGTAGATTGTTTCATAAATAAAACTTTCTGGAAGATTTATAAAGTAATTTGTCTATCTTTTCGCCTAGGTTATCAGCTGTAACAAAAACATATGCACCCTTCAAATAACGGACACTACAGGAAGCCACCAATTCCCTGCTATGCAACGGTTGAACATCTCCAAAGGTCATGCATTTATTCTAGTGTATTCTATCACAAGTAAACAAAGCCTGGAGGAGCTCAAACCTATTTTTGATGTAATAAAAGAAGTCAAGGGGGATATTGAGGGAATTCCCATAATGCTAGTGGGTAATAAATGTGACGAGACTGAAAATAGGGAAGTGGACAACCCATATGGATCAGATCAAGCGCGCCGCTGGGGCTGTGGATTCATGGAAACGTCAGCCAAGACAAACGTTAACGTTAAAGAACTCTTCCAAGAGCTTCTGAACATGGAAAAACGCAGACCAATGAACTTTCAACTGGACTCCAAAAAATCCAAAACGCAACTCAGAAAAGATAAGCTTAAAGGAAAATGTGTACTGATGTGATGTGCAAGACACAAACCTGCATATATAGTGAGGGCGCTGTGAGCAGAAAGCTTAGCATTCTCAGCCTTTTCTCGCACGGGTTAGAAGTCAGTTTATTATCTTTAGAGCACTGGTCAAAGACAAATGTGGTACTACATAGGCAGACCTCTAATCTGTTTTAGTAGCTAGCTATTCTTTCTTAAAGAACTTAATATTTCAAGTTGAAACGAAACATCAAACACAAAACAAAAACGAAACAGCCATTAAAGTGTTCTACACGAAGACAACATTAGTTCGAAACCATTGTCTTGCACAGGATTTTGTAAGTTAGAGTACTTGTAGTCTAAGTGGTGGTAAGCTGGTTAGTTTTAAGTAAAACACGAAAACCTGGCCTTACGAAGGAGACATATCTAAATGGTATATACATATATATATATACGAACGATTTATTTCATATTAGATCTAAACTTTTATCACAAAGGCCACAATGGAGTATCACTTGAATTTCAAATGAATGCAAAAAAAAAGTATAATTTGTTTTTTATAGATTCGAAGTAGCTTTAGCTTGCTTTTATTCTTTGCCTTTGATCACAAAGGCCACAATGGAATATCACTTGAATTTCAAATGAATGCAAAAAAAAAGTATAATTTGTTTTTTATAGATTCGAAGTAGCTTTAGCTTGCTTTTATTCTTTGCCTTTTATTTAATGATATGTTCCAAATGTTCGGGAATCAATAAATATGTGTTGTTTTTCAAAGAAATTCCAATCTACTTATATGAAATGAAAAGAGGTCTCTTTATAGCTTTTTTTTTCAATGAGTGCAGTCTTTAGAACTATTGGTAAGGATATATTACTGATCGTTAATTGTATTCATATGTATATATATTCTAGTTAGTTACATACAATGTATATATATATATATAATATTTCAAGCTTTAAAATTATATATATATATAGCTATAGCTTGGGAATATTAATCAAAATAAATTTTAAAGTTGAGAAAAAAGTTGTATTTGACTCAAATTTTCCTCTTTATACCTAGCTTACTTCGACGTTTTCCTGCTGCAATTTACACCATTCTTGTTAAATATATAAAATGACGTCTTGGAGTTATCTTGCTTTTTTTTAAAGTAGTAATTTTATTAGTGTAAACCTAAAGATTAACATTAGCATAGGTGTCCAAACCTGTGAATAACATGCGTTAATATTTTAAAAACTGTGTTGTTATACTATGTAAGAGGTTTACGGCGAGTTGAAATACATTTTTACTCCTTTTGCGTTATATTTTTAGGGATTATTTACTGAACAATTGCATAATTTTCTATAACTGAATTTTCATCATAGAAGTATCATATTGATGAATGTGACTTTTAGTAACTGTCTTTGACAATATTATGTATTTAATGCTTGTATCTCATCAGTTAGTATAAAGATCTCATACAAATTCCAGTTGGTATGTCTAAAATTCCTTTATTTCATAAAGTATGTGAACATTTTTACCACTGATCAGGTATCAGAATTAGCTTATTTCAGGGTTGTACAATGTGAAATCAAAGTTAGCTTATTTCAGGGTTGTACAATGTGAAATCAAAGTTAGCTTATTTCAGGGTTGTACAATGTGAAATCAAAGTTAGCTTATTTCAGGGTTGTACAATGTGAAATCAAAGTTAGCTTATTTCAGGGTTGTACAATGTGAAATCAAAGTTAGCTTATTTCAGGGTTGTACAATGTGAAATCAAAGTTAGCTTATTTCAGGGTTGTACAATGTGAAATCAAAGTTAGCTTATTTCAGAGTTGTACAATGTGAAATCAAAGTTAGCTTATTTCAGGGTTGTACAATGTGAAATCAAAGTTAGCTTATTTCAGGGTTGCACAATGTCAAATCAAAGTTAGCTTATTTCAGGGTTGCACAATGTCAAATCAAAATTAGTTTATTTCAGGGTTGCACAATGTGAAATCAAAGTTAGCTTATTTCAGGGTTGTACAATGTGAAATCAAAGTTAGCTTATTTCAGGGTTGTACAATGTCAAATCAAAATTAGCTTATTTCAGGGTTGCACAATGTCAAATCAAAATTAGTTTATTTCAGGGTTGCACAATGTCAAACGGTCCCAATACATTTCGCTCTCGAATAAAGTTCATGTAGCTTTTAATCTTGGTAGTCTTCTAAGTTAAAAAAGTTTTGTCAAAAATGGTACCTTTCGTGAAAATAAGCATTGTCTGTTGAAATATTGCAAAACAGTTTTTCACAAATATAAATGAGAGAAATAGGGTAAATCACCCGTTTGCTTAAATGACTTTGTGGCGAAAAAAGGAGGTTTTCAATTAAACTAAAATATTTCAATATACGTCACACACTCTTCATTGGGCATGCGTGCCATTCGTGACCGACAGATGGAGCTATTTTCTTAAACGTGACGACCACCTTTCCACTCTAATTAGTATAAAGAATCCAGAACAACAAAAAAAGAAAGAAAAATACAAAAATAGTGTGAAATATATTTGTTAAGGAAAGATAGTTAGATTAATACCTTGTAATATATTTTATAAGTGTTCATTACAACACTTAGAGAAAAGATTACCTTTGGGTAACTTGTACTTCATTGCGAGAAAGAATTATTATATTAATTTTCAGTTAGTGGGAGCATTCAATATTTATTATTTTATTTTAATTTATGTAACGCAAGCTCGTGAATGCGACATGTCTATCTTTAAAAAGGCCTAGTATGGCCCGGTGGTTAGGGCGCTTGACCCGCAATCTGCGAATTTGTTAAATATTGATATATTTCTTCTAATTTTACGTTGACACTACTTAAAAACTGTTCACCCAAAAACAACAACGACAAACAAACTAGAAATGTTTGTTTTTGTTGTTGGGAAACTACACTTCGCTGGCCAATTTTTATATAAATAAAAGGCTAATTGGGAAATGTATGTTAGTGAAATTTAGCGTAAACTATTCACCATAAACTCTCGTGTAAAAGTGTGACCATTATAGCTTTATAGGCTCCGTTTTAATTCTATGAATTAACCTGAATTTTGAGAAAATGTTATTTCTTAATCGCCGGACGATTTCAATAGTTTTAGGGAATACTAAGTAAATGATAATGATTAAACAAACTAAAATTCAAATTGGTTTGGCCTCTAGGCCCGGCATGACCAGGTGGCTAGGGCGCTCGACTCGCAATCTGAGGGTCGAGGTTCGAATCTCCGTCCCACCTAACATGC